CGTTCTGTAAACCCACTTTACTCCAATTGGCTTCTTCCCAGGAGGTAAATCCGTGAACTCCCAGGTACCATTCTTTTCAATGACACGTATCTCCTCATCCATCGCCTTAAGCCAATGAGTTTTTGTAGCAGCCTCCTCAAAAGTTAAAGGATCACAATCTGCAAAGAGAGCAAATTGAATAATCTCTTCATCAAACAGGTCATTATCATGATCCAAAACATAATCTTGCAAGCGAGCTGGTAAGTGGCGCTCGCGCTGAGATCGTCGAACTCTGGCTGTGAAGGAGACTGGACATGATCTGGAATCGGTTGCTCATCAACAATATTTTCAACAACAGGAATAACTGAACTTTCATCTTTAGCTAACCAATCCCAGGCACCATATTCATCAAAAGTGACATCACGACTTATAACAACCTTCTTAGTTTCAGGATTGTATAGTTTATAAGCCTTTGAAGCGTCACTATAACCAATGAATATGCATTTCTCACCTTTATCATCCAACTTCTTTCTCAATGGATCTGGCACATGTGCATATGCCAAACATCCAAAAACCTTGAGATATTTGATAGAGGGTTTTCTCCCACTCTATGCTTCTTCGGGTGTCTTATCACTGACACTTTTAGTTGGACACCTATTCAACACATAGACAGCACAAGCAACAGCTTCTGCCCAAAAAGGCTTAGGCAGGTTCTTGGATTTCAACATGCACCTTACCATATCCATGATAGACCTATTCTTCCTCTCAGCCACTCCGTTTTGTTGTGGAGTGTATCTAGCTGCCATTTGGTGCTGAATACCCTTTTCTTTCAGAAAATCATCACAGGAAATATATTCTGTACCTCTATCAGTTCTCAAGATTTTAATCTCATAACCACTTTGCTTTTCAACAAAAGTCTTAAATTGTTTGAAAACATCACATGCTTCAGACTTTTGCTTCAGAAAGTAAACCCATGTTTTCCTACTGAAATCATCAATGAAAGTAATAAAGTACTTACAACCTCCATGTGAGGTAACCTCCAACGAACACAGGTCTGAGTGAACAATCTCCAACTGTTTTGTAGCTCTCCTTGACTTGCCCACAGGGAAGGGATCTCTATGCTTCTTCCCAATCACACAAATCTCACATATACGATCAGGGACATTCACAACAGGTAAATCAGAAACAAGTTCCTTTCTCGCAAGATAGTTTAACCCAGAGAAATGGAAATGCCCAAACCGCATATGCCATAACCAATTATCATCACAAACTTTAGAATTAAAGCAATCAAGGAGAGTATTCTTAATTTTCAAAGGAAATAGTCGATTTTGGGACATATTTACCTTTGCAATCAAAACTCCTTTAGCATCTTCAATGGTACAACACTCCTGAGCAATATGTATCTTATATCCTTTTTCTGATAGCTGACCCATACTCAACAAATTTTGGTCTAGTTCAGGAACATAGAACACATCGGATATAAAATTTTGAGTACGATCCTTCAACTGAATAGAGATTTTACCTTTTCCCAAAATTGGCACTTTTGACTTGTTGCCAAATGTCACTTCAGACCGGACTGATTCATCCAGTTCAGAAAACAATTCTTTCTTCCCACACATGTGGTTACTACACCCAGTATCCAAGAACCATATGTTCTTATCTGCAGAAAAACTATCGCTAGCTAAAAGTAAAGTTTCAGAACTCTCACCAGACTTTTCAGCAGTGTTTTCAACAATGTTTGCTTGATTTCCAAGATTGTTGTCCTCATTATACCAACAATCTGCAATCTTGTGCCCATACTTGCCACAATTGTAGCAATGAAATGGAAATTTACCTTGTTTGGTATTACCTCCACCTCTTCCTTGGTTGGAGTTACCACGACCTCTTCCACTAGAACCTCCTCTTCCTCTTCCACGACCTCTACCAGATCCTCCACCTCTTTGATTAGTGTCAGTCACATTAAGGGTGACTTGGCTCTTCAAAGCTTCTTCTGCTAGTGGTTCCGATTTTGACGCAATCCTGTCAATATGACTTTCTACCATACCTTTCAGCTCTACAATTGATAAGAGCTCAGTTTTGTGTGACTCTGTGATCGAAGCCACCACATGGTCATACTTCATCGGCATAGTTCGAAGAACTTTTTCAACCACTGCACCATCTTCAATTGTATCTCCGTATAACCTCATCTTATTCACCATATCAATAAGACGAGTGAAATACATATCTACTGTTTCTGTAGAGGTCATCTCACAATTATCGTACAACCTTCTCAATGACTGCAACTTAGACTTCTGCGCCCGATCGACTCCTTTGTGTGACACCTTTAAGATGTCCCAAGCTTGTTTTGCTGTTTGAGCACGAGCTAATTGCCTAAAAATGGAATAATGAACACCTTGGTGAATCTGACCCAAGGCCAATTTATCTCGCCGTATAGCGGCTGCATCAGCTCCTTCGGGTAGACCGGGATCAACAAAGCTCCAAAGATTTTGAGCTTGCAAATGTGTGGACATCATAATTTGCCAATAATTGTAATCGAGTTTACCGTCCAATTTGGGACCCGACCATACAATATTGAAACTTGTTGCCATATTTCACTACGGGAAATATTTCGGGGTTGAAAGGTTGAATTGACTGGCTTTGATACCAAATGTAAGATATATTAAATATAATATATATATTATATATAATATATCTATGTATTTATATATAATAATATATAAATAGGAAGAGAGAGAGAGAGAGAGAGAGAGAGAGAGAGAGAGAGAGAGAGAGAGAGAGAGAGAGAGAGAGAGAGAGAGAGAGAGAGGAAGATTAGAATGAATAATGTTTATTCACTAGGATGATTTAACAAATGAAAATACACCACATATTTATACTAAGAGAAAGCTAATAAATAGGAAGTTAATGCTCCATGTACTACTCCTATAATCTAGGTATGTTCTACATTAACATACATGACTCACCCATGTTTGTTTTTATTAAATTCTTTGACTTGGTTTAATTACTAATAATAATAATATTATTATTATTATTATAACAATGTGTCCTGCTAATCAATCACTATAATAACTGTCCATCATCATAATATTCTTTTAATCATTCATTATATTATTGTGTAAATGCTTGGCTTGGAATTTTTGATATTTATATATAAAAAAAATGATCAAATGTGATCAATTTGCAAAAAGTGTTATTTTGACAAATTACACCATTTATATATGTGGTGAAATATAATGATTAGCAGTTACAAAGTAATATAATGAATGATTAAAAGAATATTATGATGATGGACAGTTATTATAGTGATTGATTAGCAGGACACATTAAGAAAGATAATTATTTTAGTATTATAAGATGGGGGTTATGTAGCGAAGTGAATCGGCAGAAGGGAAAAAGGAAGAAAAAGAAAAAGAAAGAAAAGAGACGAAATGAAAGAAGAAAGTGAAGGAAAGAAAGAAAGGAATTGGAGGTTGGGCGGTTTATGGAATTGCTAGGAATTATTATTTTGGTAAGATTTCATGTTCACTAAAATTTTATATTTGCCCCAAAGTATATATATGTTTTTATAATGTGTGAATGTGGTTATGATATGATATTATATAAATTAAAGTTATATGATTTCACAAATTATGTGTGATATTATGTGATTATAATATTATGGTGACACAAGTACATTTATCGATAAATGGTAACGTTGTGAGTGGTGATTCTCGAAGTATCGAGAATGGGTTTCGACGTGTCGAACTCGTGTGTTGTGTAAATGCTTGGCTTGGAATTTTTGATATTTATATATAAAAAAAATGATCAAATGTGATCAATTTGCAAAAAGTGTTATTTTGACAAATTACACGATTTATATATGTGGTGAAATCTTATTATTATTCCACGTTCATATTATTAAAGTTTGGAAAAGAAACATTTTGACATGAAAGTATATATATATACATATATATTTTAATCTTGGAGGAGGGTGATATTTGGTGCAGGTGTGAGCCGGAAAACTCACAACCTACCGACTGGAATTTGGTCATTTTACCGGAGTGAGCCGGGAGAACTCACAAAAATATTTTTATTATACCGGAGTGAGCCGGGAGAACTCACAAATTTGAAATTTATCTCAGATATCGAAACCACAGTGAGCCGGTAGAACATACATTGGAATTCTAAATTATTTTCATGATGATTGGCTTATGAGATGCCTTTTGGTGGTTATGTTGAGAGCTTAAAGACTCTTCACTTGGTATCTACTCCTCCTTGATAAATATGTTATATTTTGGAAAAAAATGGCGTGGAAGGTTTTGGAAAATGATTATTTACTAAGTAATACTTGAAAAGTCTCTACTATGTTAATTGTACAAAAGTATATATATATATATATATATATATATATATATATATATATATATATATATATATATATATATATATATACACACACACACACACGTGTGTGTGTGCGTGTGTGTGTGTGTGTGTGTGTGTATATATATATATATATATATATATATATATATATATATATATATGGTTTGCGAAAGTATAAGAATATATAAGTATTTTAATTTGAAAATTATATAAAATCCGAGCCTATTATTTTACGGGATGAAATGGAACTTACTTAGCTTATGCTAATTTTTGTCTATTCTCTATCTTTTTGTGTCAAATAATTTTTACAGGTGAACATGAATAAGGATTCCAGTTGAGAACGAGTTTAGTCTATTAAGAATAGACAGCATGGAAGATTTGATATTCTTGAGAAAAATATTGTTGTATAGTAATTTGAAATTTTATGTATTAAGTGGCACTTGAGATATTATTCGATGTTGTAATTTTAGCCTTAGCACTTAGGTTGTTGGTTGCCTAAGTGTGGCGGTAACACCCTTTATTTTGGTTAGTTAATGCTTCCGCTAGAGTATTATTAAACTTTTAATTGAGAAAAAGTATTAAAATTAAAGAAAATTTTGTTATAAAATTTGGGGTGTTACAAGACCGGTGGGGGAATCAAAGGGTATATTTCTACGATGAAGGTACATGGGGCGGTACCTTGTGGATTGGCCGAAAGACCATGGAAATTCATGAAGTTGAATTTTGAAGGGTGGCAACTGAGAATGTTGTACAACATAATGATTCTCGGCATGTCATGGTTCTTGACCGAGATGGTTCCTAGTGGAAAGGAACACGAGTCTAACGCTCAAACGGTTAGCATAGTACGTATTTGGAAATACTTGGTTTTCCTATGCCTAAACTATATTTTGAATGGTTTGTGTGACTCGTTGTGGGAATCTTTGGACCTAAAGTATACAAGTGATGACGCTAAGGCAAAGATGTTTGTCATTAGCCGATTACTTGAATACAAGATGGTCGATTCCGGGATCGTCCGAAGTCAAGTTGACGAAGGAATGATTGTGAGTGAAGCCTTTCAAGTGGAATCTAATATCCATTTGTTGTCTTTGGGCATAAAGGACTTCAAGAAGCAATTCTACGGAAAATGCTTCAATTGTGGCATTATGGGCCACAAGTGGACTGATTGTAAAGCACTTATGAGGAAGAATTACAATTCGGAATCTAACGTGGTGAGGGTCAATCAGAATGAATCCGAAATCATCCTCTCGGCAATGGTGACCGAGGTAAACCTGGTTGGTTCGAACCAAATGGAATGGTTCATTGATACGGGTGCGACCCGACATATGTGTTCCAACCGTGAGTTGTTTACTACCTTCGAGACGACTAATAGTGGGAAGGTATGGATGAGAAACTCTGCTCAGTCTACTGTGGAAGGCATGTGCAAAGTGGTTCTCAAAATGACCTCTGGGAAAGAGCTGACTCTGGACAACGTTTTGTACGTACCAGAGCTACGAAAGAACTTAGTTTCTGGTTCATTGTTGAACAAGAATGGCTTCCGATTAGAGTTTGAGTCAGAAAAAGTTGTTTTGTCGAAATCGGGAATGTACATAGGTAAGGGTTATGTACTAGATGGGCTTTTTAAGCTCGATGCTATAACTGCAATTAATAAGTGCGTTATTAATTTAGCCTACTTACTTGAGTCTTCGTGTTTGTGGCACGGTAGACTAGGTCATGTTAATTTTAATTCTATTCGTAGATTAATTAACTTGGACCATATTCCTGCATTTCAAGTTGATAAACACAAATGTGAGATTTGTGTTGAGGCAAAACAAACGAAAATTCATTTTAAATCAATTGAAAGGAAAACAGAACCACTTGAGTTGGTTCAGAGCGATTTATGTGATTTTAGATCAATACAATCTCATCGTGGTAATAAATATTTTATCACGTTTATCAACGATAGCACACGATACTGCTATGTGTATTTTCTTAAGAGCAAAGACGAAGCCGTCGATAAATTCATGCTCATAGATCCTCAAAGGAGCACAATGTTACCAAAAGAGCATGATGCGGACAAGCACAATGTGTGCTACAGAGCACAATGTATCAAAGGAGCACAATGTGGCAAAGAAGCAAGATGTTCAGAATATGAATAAATTCGAAGGAATTTATTTTGGATCAGCCCACATACCACAAGAATCCAAAATTACCTGAAGATATTTGATCAGAACGGAAAAATATTTATGAAGACATGAATATAAAAATTTATCCTAGAAATAAATTCTATCGGATGAATTTATTTCAAAGATTCGTTGGATATTCAAATTGACAATAAAAATAATATTTTTAAGAAACAACTTGAAAATCAAGTTGAGATAAAATATTATTTTGTCAGGCAAGTTGACAATGAAATCAAAATTGAAGATCTACTATTGTCAACAATATTAGGCTATGAAGATTCAAATTTCAAACATCAAATTATCCCACTCCAACGGATATATTTGATTTCCTATAAAAAGCCATGAAGACTTGAAGACAAATAGAGCAGAGGTGCATACACACGGATAAACAAGTGCAAAATTCGAAAAGTGCAAGTGCTCAAATATTCTTAGAGACTTAGTCTGAATAGTCTCAAATCTAGTAGGAGAGAGATATAATTACCTTTGTATTTGTAATTGTAAAAAGAGTATAGCTGTGTGCAAAATACTCTAGTGAGTGTAGCTATGTGCAAAACACTCGTAGTTGCTAAGTGTAGCTGTGTGCAAGATACTTAGTTGGCGTTGAGTATAGCTGTGTGCGAAATACTCGAAGTTGAGTGTAGCTGTGTGCGAGACACTCGGAGTTGGGTGTAGCTGTGTGCAAGACATCCGGAAGAAGTGCCTGTGTAGCACTTATTCACTATTGTAACTGTGTGTGGAAAATAGTGAATTTCTCCTAGACATGAAAGGAGAAAAGTGGACTAGGAAGATTACGCCACTTCCGAACCACTATAAATTGCCTCTCTCATTTACATACCGCACTTACATAATTTGCTCTATTTATCTATCTTATTCGACTAACCCGTTTACTATTCACAGTTAATCTTATTCATCCGGGTTTAGTGTGTTTTTACATATACATGTGACTCAAACTTCTCAAGCTTAAATATGGATTATTCTAAGCTAGTTTGACGTGTTGCATGTAATATTCGTCACACGTTCGACGTGACACGATATTTATTTACAATCTTGAATATTGTTATTATATATTGAGTGTACCATCTTCTTTATATATTCAAGATATCTCTGTCATTTACATATCATCTGTACCCTTCTTACATGCGCATTTAAATTATTGTTTGGGCATAACTCTTTACATTCTATTATTCCGCTGTGCAGTTTTAAACTTACTCTATTTACTTGTTACTTAGAGTTGAAGTTACCAAAGAGTTATTTATTTTGAAAAAGCTTGAAAGTCTATTCACCCCCCTCTAGACTTTCACCACCCTATCGGGACCAACAATTGGTATCAGAGCGGTTGTCTATTTGAGTCAATTTTGACTGCTAGACAGATCTCGAAAAATCAAGATGATGAAAAGAGATATCCGAGTAAACAGAAATAAATGACATGCTAAAATATTTTTCCACTAGCTGTTTGAACTGAAGGAATATTGTAAACACATCTGATTTACGTTTCATGGGGTACAGCCAAATGTATTTTGAGAAGTGGTCCACAAAAATTACATAATAGTGAAATTCATCAATAGAGTTCTCAGTAGGTCCCCACACATCAGTATAAACATGTTGCAAAGGTTTAGTGCTAACAAGTGTATTTTTTGAAAAAAAGGCAGTTTATGGCTTTTATGGACATTGCAGGAGGAACAATAAAATTTTTGCAGAGATGACGTAGAAACTGGAACATTACAGTGTTGCAACACATTATTCGGTGGGTGGCCAAGTTGTTGGTGCTATTGAGACAAACAAGCCAACTGCGTAGCATGAACTGTTGGGTGAGAGGCAACTGGTCTAAAATAGACACCATTAATGTTCGCCCCCTGTAGCAGCGAAATCCCCTTTCGAAGTTCCTTGACCAGAATATGAGAATCAAATAATTCAACAGACACACGATTAGTCTTGCATAACTAGGAAATAGAAACTAAATTAGTGTGTAACTGTCGGACACGCAAGACATTATCTAGAGTGAGAACATTAGAAGGAGTGGGAATAACAGACTGGCCAATATGGGATATTTGTAAGGAATTACCGTCACCCAGCCGTATTTCATCCGATCCACTGTACTCGGCGAAAGTCTGCAGAGGAGCAAGGCTTGGTGTCACATGGTGCGACGCCCCACTATCAAACATCCAGGGAAGAGAAGCCCAAGTCATCGAATTGGCTGTAGAAGATACAGAGGTTTGCAAAGGAGGAACATTATGCTCCTTTAGAAACCGGGCTAGCTTGTGACACACCCTTGTTTCATGACCCGTAAGATAACAGAACTTACAGACGATACCGGAGCGATTGTGTTCCCCTTGTTGCCGATTGGAGCCATAATGATTGTTATTGTTGCGGGCCCTCCGGTTGGTGTTGGACTGGTGGTTGCGCTGCAGGGGTGACGAGGTGCGTTGAGTGACATTAGCAGTAGTCAAAAAGGACTGACGCAAAGCATCTGCGTTTTTCAGTTGGCGTTCATGGTCAGTCAGCACATCTGCCAACTCGCCAAAAGAAAGAGGCTTCTCACGAACGCGGATGGCCGATGTGATGGAATTGTAATCCTCGCCTAGCTGAGTCAATACATAGAAGGTTAGATCTTCGTCAGATACGAGACACTGAGCCAACGCTAAATCATCAGTTATAGCTCGCATGTCATTGAGATAAGTGGTGATGGACTGAGACCCTCGCCGATTCCTCGTGAGTTTGGCCTTGAGGGATATGATACGTCCTCGTGAGGCACTGGCGTAACTAGCAGCAAGACGTTGCCACGCATCATGGGCTGTCGTAGCCGCGGAGATAAGGGGCTGTATGGTGTCAGTACAGCTCCCAAGTAGAGCACTAACAATAACTTGGTCTTGTCGATACCAAGCTAAATGGGCCGGGTTGACAGAAGTTTGAGCAGGATCAGCGAATTTAGCTGGTTGCTTGGTTGTACCATCAACATAACCAAAGAGATTAAACCCAACAAGCGTGGCATGAATTTGACACCGCCACACCGGGAAATTCACAGCCGTGAGTTTAATTGGGAAGCGCATTGGGGCATTTAATTGGATTATTGTATTTGTGGTTGTAGTAGCGGAAGCCATTTGGAAGGGGAAGGAAAAAAAACTTCGTAGGAGAAATTAGGCTCTTGATACCATAATAGATTATGAACTTAACTGATATTATTGATGTAAAACAATCAGCTTTAAATAGCATACAAGGGAGAGAAAATAGCATGTAGTTAGCAGGTTATTGTAACAACCAGTCTAACAATGCTACATAAAATGAATGCAACTAGAACTAATCATATACAAAAGATGTCAGCCACAGATATCCTTAACACTCTCCGTGTCTCTTATTCTATTTGCATTTATCTTTATATTGATCCAATTCTGCGATTCACGGGTTCGGAGCTAAAGGCCAACGGGCACAAACAACACAATTACAACATGTTTGTGTTTGTTAAGCGTTCGTTTATTAAGGTAAATGAACATAAATGAACAAATTTTAGAGTTCATTTGATAAACAAATAAAATCTAAATATTTGTAGACTCGTTTTCTAAGAGCTTGTGAAAAATCTCGTTAGTGTTTGTTTAATAATGTTCATGAGCAAGCTCGTTTAGTGTTCATTTAATAACGTTTAAGAACATGCTTGTTTAGTGTTTTTTTTTTAAATTTTTCACGAACAAACTCATTTAAATATATTTTATTTTATTTACTTTTAATATAATAGTATAGTACTTAGCACTTTAGTTTATATATATATATATATATATATATATATATATATATATATATATATATATATATATATATATATATATATACATATTTTAAAAGGCGGAAGGGTCAAATAGGCTCATCTACTACTTTGAAGTGCTCAATTCCCCTAATTATCTAATTGGACACACCTCCTAAAATTGTTCGACTAGCTTTTTTGCAAGTTACCTCCGGGTTGCCAATCCACATTGCTGACATGTAATTTTATTAGAATAAAAGTGTATGATGATGTCTAATGACATGGAATTTAATGTTGTCGGCAGTGCCTTCATCATAGTCAACCTCCACCACCGCCTGCCGCATATCATCCCAGTCAACCTCCACCAACGCGTTCATCATCAACACACCCACCAAAATCAACAGCGGGTCAACCGCACATGCCGAAATCAACGCCAACACTGGCAACATTCCCCGTAGATAATCACCCACCGGCTCCGTTTTTGCCTTCACCGGCGCCGCTCGAATTAGGCGATCGGAAGTCAGCAGAGGCATCGCGCGATCGAACTCCGATTGCGTCGCTCAAAGCTTTACCGACGAACGCGCCTTTGCATGGACAATCAGAGCCCGGCGATGCCATTCTGCAACCTTCTCAAAGCTTCGTCACTCATCAGCGAGGTGATCGCAATCTTCAATCTCAAGATCAGCGACCTCCTGTGAAGTCTCACATCGCGATCCAAAATTCGTCTTTTGCGACTATGGTTGGTCGTCTCGCTTCGAAGGGTACGACAGTGGACCTGCTGTGTCTTTGGTGGCGGAAGAGGTAGAGTTTGGTGTTCTGCCTTCTCTGCCACAGGCTGGTCTCGTTGCTTCTAATGGCGGTGGACGGGTCTCGGTGGAGGGGGAGAGAATTAGACCTCTTCATATGGTGGCAGTGGAGGAAGCACTTTCGACTCCTGCTTCCTCGTTGCAAGCTGGTGGGCCTCCAGTGAGTAGGCCGGTGAGAGTGGATGGCATGGTGCGTAGATGGAAACGGCAAAAGCAGGGGTCAACACCAATTCGAGTTTAAAAAAAATCCCTAAAATCTCAAATCCCTAACCTAATCGACGGAGCTTCGCATGACACTCTCTAAAACGTTGTTTCTCTATGGAGGTGAAGACTCTATAAACAACAGCCACCGCGTCGACGGAGGAGGTGATGACTCCATAGACGACAGCCACCGACGTCGACGGCAGAAGAGGTGAAGACTCCATAGGGTTTCGAATTAAGGCATTCATTTAATTAAGCCCAAATGTTTTTTTTTTAATTTTGTTATTTGAATGCCATGTAATCACTGTCACATAATCATGATCGGGCCAAGTCAGACTCCACCGGAGGTAACCTGCGAAAAAAGCTAATCGAACAGTTTTAGAGGTAAGTGTGTCCAATTACATTATATTTTAGATGATGGGGAGAATTGAGCACTTCGAAGTAACAGATAGGCCTATTTGACACTTCTACATTTTAAAAATGTTACTTTTATTTGCCTATCGTTCTACTCCTACTAGAGTAAATGCATTTGATAATTCTCATCCACAAGTGCTAGTTCCTGAGAATCTTTGCTAATTAGGACGAAAGGAAGAAAATATGAAAAGACTATTTCTAATTCACAAATAAATTATGATAATGAATATGTACATGTGTTCAAACGTTATCATATTGAATATGTACAATATGTACATGTGTTCAAACGTTATGATATGTACATGTGTTTAAACGTTAATAAACATATGCGTGAATGTTAACAACCACTAATAAATGCTTAACAAATGAACAAAGAATATAATTTTCAAGAACTTTAACAAAAACAAACATAATATAATTTTCAAAAACTTTAACAAAAACAAACATTCCAAAAATCTTAAGCCAAGTCCAAATATGTTCTACCACCACACAATCCACCTGATAAGAATAAGAATTAGACACAAATACAACAAATTTTGTAAAACGTAGCCAAAAATTTAAAATGAGATTGGATAAGGGCCACGCGAACGCAGGCCCCGTCTGCTACAAATTATGACCTAGGCTCCACCATTAAGGTAGACCTTAGATTGACACCCTTTCTAAGTGCAATGAAAGTCATCAATCTAGGGCATAGACCTTATTGATCGCCTATTGACCCTGTCCAGGTAAGTATGGAACCAATTATTACTCGGCCCATTTTTATAACTCGTTGCTATGAACCACATTTTGTTTTCTGCCGATGTGGAAATCTCTTAAGTATGCAAGTGAACTGCTTCTTCTTCTGCTGTCTTTTCTTATTGATTTAGGTCTTTTCTTTTGCTGTTTTTCTTACTGATATTTACAAAATCTAAATACCTTAGCATATTTATTGCAACAACAAAAGTTAAAATGGTACCAAAATTGATGTATTTAAGTGATGTATGGTAATAGGATGCAACTCTTAAACTAACTTCAATTCTCTTCAGATATAATTATTGGTGTTCTGTTGCTTGGGCTTGTGACAATGGAAAGGTTGATTCAAAGCTTTAGATGAAATTTCAATCCTTTACTCATTTGATTAAATGAAATTTTCCAAAGGGGGATTCATAGGACAAGCTTTCTAGTGGCATTGCCATTCTCATAGTACAGTACCATAAGACCATTCCAGAATCATAAACATTTTCATCCAACACATAATTGTCATGTTGTTTTGTATCACATACATATGAACATTTTCTATTGGAATAATGGTCAAATAGGCCATCGAACTATACATCAAAATGCAATTAGACTATTGAACTCAAAAAACATACAATTATGTCCTTAAACTAACCAATTTCATGCCAATTTTCAGGTTTTACAGGTTTCTAACAGGTCTCTCAAATTTAAAATATTTTTTAAAAATAATTATTTAATTGTTTAAAAAAAACAAAAAAAAAAAAAAAAAAAAAAAAAAAAAAAAAAAAAACGTCTACATGCCGGAGACAAAGAAACCTTCTTCGTCTCCGGCCAGAG